TTTACCTTTTGCTGGTGGAAATGAAGCATCCGGTGATAACCTAGTAGCCACGAGTGGGTATTTTCCCGTTTGTAGGCAATGAGGCTCAGGACAACAATTGCAATTCGCAAGTGTGAGCTCCTGGGTTGCTTCGTCCTGATGGGATATCATAACGTAACCACATATTAGCTTTTCTCTCAAATTCGGCCTTGGGGAATTTCGATTTGTCCTTGAAGTTTGTGTGTCTATTCTCGCCGACTCGTTGTTACACACAGGGCGGTTCCTGAGTGCTATGAGTCAACAGTAACACAATGTGTTCAACCTTCAGGAACATCATCTTTTCACCAAAGCTTAGGTCTGATCATTTCCTCTTTTTGATGATATTGCGATTAACACGTCAGCAAAGTTATGTTTCGGCTGCGTTGTCTATGATAGATCGAAAGTCGGCAGAGTCGGATACTACACCTCCGGGAGTTTACTGGAGTGTTTTTCTCAACCTTTGCAGGACATAACAATAAGGTTACTTTTGTAAGCAATTTGTGTTACGCGTAGAATAGCATAGAGGGAAAGATAGAGCATATGTCACAGCTTTGATCATGGAAGACACTTGGCGTCATTGGTAGGTTTGGCAAGTATACGTAGATCCTCGCATCGTTGTGCTATTCAATAACTCAGTTCTATGACACTGAAATTGCTAAGTAAATATCTGAATACAGTCATATCTTTATGCAACGTGGTACTCTGCATCACCATTTGAGGTGACAAGAAACTATATTAAGTTCAACGTTGAGATAAGGTTGGGTGTACACGTCGTTGAACGCCAAACACAGATATCAACGGTTGCGCCGCATAATTCTAAAATCGGGTTCAAATCTTATGTAAGATCACATTTCTTTCCTTTGTATTCCTTATGATCGTCGTCTTTTCAATAAGTTGATATCCAATCGCTGGTGGGCGGCAATAAACCATTTGTTGGTTCAAGTTGTAAGCCAGTTACGGCCTTAGAACTCAAGTTCAGGTTAGCAAAATAAGGATTAATTCGCACAGTTAACTTCCTCAAGACTTGAATTCCCAAGCATCCTTTCCTTGGGTTATTCTTATCATCGTCTTCCCCCTCAAATCAGAACTCAATTATCTTGTGTAGGGTAATTTGGCACCTAATAACCCATACGGATGCGGAAGACATTCCCCGTCTTGGCTAGCGTATTCGGTTTGTTTCTCTTTAGTGAGGACCTCGTGCACTGACGTCAAAAGCAATTCATTCGTTCATCTGAACTCAAAGCTCCCGACCTTAGTGGTCGAATCCATTCATGATCACCAGGGAGGGGCACGTTGACGGATTCGACGCGATCCAACAAATTTTCCACGAGCTTAATTAAGCCCAAGCTTTTTTACCCCTAACTTAATTAGCGACCTTCATCCAAATTCTAGATGCTGCAAGTTTATAGTCCGCTTATTGTTGGGCTGTGAGCAGCTGTCATGAAGTTCGCCAAGGAGCTCGAGCGAGAAGCTGTGCCTGGTAAATCCCTAAGAATTGTCTTATAGATTGGACAAAACTAACTCTGAACCTGCAGAATGGCGCATCAAGTACCTCAACTACAAACAAGGGAAGAAGCACATCAAAGCTGTCGGTAGAGCTCTTGCTCGTGCAAATGGAACACCTCGAGGTCTTGGGCAGCTTCGCACTGGCACATATGCTTCACCTGCAACACCGCGACAACCCTTTACGAGAGAGAACACGGCATTGAATTCTGCGACAATTCCATCCGTAGCAGCCGTTGCGCCCCCGAGGTCGATCCCTACGCCGCGAAGCAGAGCCGCCGAAAACGAGTCCCTCACAGATTCGGGCGATAACCGACACTATGGAAGCTTTGTCAATACACCACCGGAGCCGTCGCCTTTGGCTGGTGAGACCAAACATGCCGAATTTCAATTACCTGCGCCCGCGCTGAAAGTTCATGATCATGAGAGCGACCTCCCCGGTTCGCCTGCTACTGTTGGGCCCTCCGAGGCGATGCGACGAAATATCCAGCGAATGGATCCTCGACGAACATCATCAGCCAGTGTCGTGTCGACAATTGCATCGCCGGACGTAAACAGTTCGACCAAGAAACCATCAGAATCTGGCGCTCAGGATTCACCTTCTCACCTCCGACGACTATTTACCCACCAATCAACAGCAAAAAGCGACCGCAGAGTCGATATCAACATGCAGAACTTCGACCTGGTTAAGGAAAGGGAGCGAGAGTTCTTTGACTTCCTCGATTCAGAACTTGAAAAGGTTGAGAGTTTCTACAAGATGAAGGAAGAACAGGCTGGTGAGAGGTTGGACATTCTGAGAGTACAACTTCACGAGATGCGCAACCGTCGAATTCAAGAGATGGCTGATGAGCGAGCCCGTGAGGAAAATCCCCAGAAAAGAGGAACCCATGATAGCGCCAATGGCAAGCTCAACGGGATCATGGATCCTATAAAGTCCAAGATATTCCCTATCGGACCCAACACGAAGGCATTGCAGAAGATGAACACAACACCCAATATCAATGGTGGCGTCGTAGGTGACGCTGAGAGAGATTACATCCGTCGCCCAACCCATCACGAGGTCTCATACCGCACAGCAAAGCGCAAGCTCAAACTCGCACTCCAAGAGTTTTATCGTGGGCTTGAATTACTCAAGTCATACGCAATGCTCAACCGCACGGCATTTCGGAAGCTCAACAAGAAATACGACAAGGCTGTCAATGCCCGACCTCCGTACCGTTATCTTAACGAAAAGGTCAACCAGTCATGGTTTGTCAACAGCGATGTACTCGAGGGACACATTCGTACGGTGGAAGACCTGTATGCTCGCTATTTCGAGCGCGGTAATCACAAGCTAGCCGCTGGCAAGCTCCGCAGTTTGAACAAGAAGCCTGAAGACCAGTCAATCGGCATGTTCCAGAATGGTCTGCTCATTGGCACTGGTGCTGTGTTCGCGATTCAGGGTCTCATTTATGGAGCACAGCTGTTGTACGATGACGATGACGAAGTACGCGTGCGGACGAGCTATCTCATGCAGATCTATGGAGGCTATTTTCTCATGCTCTATCTGTTCTCGCTTTTCTGCATTGACTGTTTAATCTGGAACCAGAACAAAGTCAACTACCCCTTCATCTTTGAGTTCGACCAGCGGCATCATCTAGACTGGAGAGAGCTGGCTCAATTCCCAAGTTTCTTCTTCTTGGCACTGGGCCTCTTCATGTGGGTGAATTTTAGTAGATATGGCGACCCGGACATGTATATCTACTATCCGGTCATCCTTATCTTCTTTACTATTGTTGTTTTATTCTTTCCTGCTCCTACGTTGTTCTATAAAAGCCGGCGCTGGTTTGCATATTCTCATGTAAGTCTTCCCTCACTTTGTTGTTGAAACTTGCTGACATGAGCCAGTGGCGTTTGCTCTTGGCTGGACTCTACCCCGTCGAGTTCCGTGATTTCTTCCTCGGAGATATTTACTGTTCACTTACATATGCTACTGCAGTAAGTGCAAAGAATCAAGACTGAAAATGAGGAATTACTAACAATGACAGAATATTGAACTATTCTTCTGTTTATATGCCAACTACTGGCAGAATCCGGTGCAGTGCAACTCTAGCCACTCACGGGCCCTTGGATTCTTGACTGCTCTTCCGCCCATTTGGCGATTCTTACAGTGCCTTCGTCGATATAAAGATACACGCAATGTCTTTCCTCATCTAGTCAACGGTGGCAAGTATACGGCGACTATAATTGCTGCTGTGATGCTGTCTTTGTACCGTATACATGATTCCAATATGCATCTTGCTTTATTCATTACTTTTTCAACCATCAACAGTGTCTACTGCTGTAAGTTGCTTGCCTCATCATCCGCAAACACTTCTGACCACTACCAGCTTTCTGGGATCTTTTTATGGATTTCTCTCTTCTTCAACCCAATTCGAGGCACTGGTGTCTCCGAGATATTCTTGCCCTGAAGCGACGATGGCTATACTACTTCATCATGGTGGTAGATCCTATTCTTCGGTTTGCCTGGATCTTCTATGCTATTTTCACCCATAACACCCAACACTCCACCATTGTCTCCTTCATGGTCGCCTTCATGGAAGTCACCCGTAGAGGCATGTGGACTCTCTTCCGCGTTGAGAACGAACACTGCGGAAACGTCTCTCAGTACAAGGCCTCTCGTGATGTGCCCCTCCCCTATAGAATCGAGCCTCTCATTGCTCGTGCCAGTATGGACAGCACCGTCGCCAGCCACCAACCAGATGACATCGTAGGTGTTGCCTCACTCGAAACACCTTCCCGCCATGGCACAGCCGAACCCACCGCCATCTCAGCCGGTCAAGCAGAAGAAGGCTTGTCTCGACGCAGAACAGGAGGAGTGGCGCCCCCACCACCGCCAAAACGCACATTCTCACGCATGCTTGCCGAAGCGCACAAGCAGGACTTTGAGAAGAAGCGCCGCCCTCTCGAACAGACCAGTGAGGACCCTGCTGCCGAGCTGGGACAATCCGACGATGAAGATGATGCCGACGATGCTGTCAGTTTGCTGGAGATGTCGGAGGCTGAAGATTTAGCACGAGCACCTTCAAGTTCGAGATATCGTTGATTTGGTTCTGGTCTGGTATTCGATAGATTGGTTGCATACACCTGGTAAATTGTTCAGCATAGCTAGTTTAGATACCCACATATAACTTATATACTACACACATACACATGCACATATATTATTTCGATTGCATTATTTAGAACTGTAATCCTGATGTTGCTTTTACTCGGGAAGCAATTCGTCAATTTATATTTTACCCGAGATCATTTAGCTCTTGTAGACACTACCTATGTAAGTACGGAGTAGGCAAGTGTCAAAAAAGGTATCCTAAATTTAGCATAAATTTAGGCTAAACTTATCCTAAGTTACCTAAGTCTTTATGTCATTTAGGATCGAGGGACCAATGCGACACTCATCGGTTTGCCTAAACCCGAAAAAGTCCGTCTTTAATCTTTTATCTAAAGTGAAGGGATGCCTCTACTACCTTTTTTTTTTTGACAATAGCCAAGGCCAGCTCGGGTTCAGCAAGTTCGACGACCTCTGGGAGGGCAACAGGCGGGCGAAACCCATCGGCAAACCCAGCCTTCGCAGCACGGATGATGTAGTTTCGAGATGATATGAAGATGCGCTTTTGGTTGAACTCCCGAATCCGGGCTCGCTCGCTGCGCTCCCATTTCGTGAGAGCACGGCGCTTCAGTTCGTCGATATCGTCATCGGTATCCCATTCGACATACTGGGCGGCGGCGATCTGGTTGCTCTCATCTTTCACGTCGAATGTAACCTTGTCCTCTCCTTTGCCGGAGGATAAGCCGACTCCGAAGTATGCTGGCTCGTGCAGACGTCGAGCGTCATCTCTCTTGCGCCTTTTGGTAGGCGACTCCCCATCCTCGTCTCTCTTCCTCTTGTTCTTGGACGTTGGCAAAGTTTGGGACCACTTGCCGATGAGGATGCGAGTGTCGTCTTTGTTTCTGTCTTGAGGCTTGGATGGCATATCTTCGATATCTGCAGCACTCAACCAGTCTTTAAAGAGTACATTAAAGAAGTTCGTCCGGTCGTCTGCGTTGATATTAATCGCTTCTGGCTGGATATCTCGGTTAAGCTTAGGGTACTCTGTCTTTACCCATTTTCGAAGGTTGTCGGCAAGATCGAACTTTTCAAACAGACCAAGGTCTGTAGGACTGTTTAAGAAATGACCGCCTGGCCGCGATATAAGGTGATTGCCATCTGTCTCGAAGTCCTTGATGCGAGTGCCCACCACAGGGGGAGGAAGACTGTCAGGATCTTCCTTGATTTTGGGTGCCATATTAGCATGGTCAACCTGAACGGAGCCTGCAGGAGGCAGACCCGGATCAGTTTGACCAGCTTGGCCAATATCGCCGTGCGTATCTTCCATAGCCGTAGAAGGTTGGCGCAGTTTAAAAGCGAATATGAACAGAGGAGACGAGAGTGACGGATGGACGAACAACAACAACAGGAGAGAGGAGAGCGACAGGTTGCATAAAGGAGGACAGAGGGAATGAGTAGGTCAGAGATCAAAAAGATATCGTGGAGGGGAAGATGATGAGGGGGTACGGCAGAGGAGGAGAAGGGTGGAAGAGTAGAGATTTATGAATGTGCAGAGAGAAGTGCAGGCTGGGAGTGGTATGAGCAAGGGAAGAAGTAATCTTATGAACAGGTTGGAAAGCCGAGGAGAGGAGGAGCAAGAAGAGAGAGAGACAATAGGGAGACAATAGGGAGACAATAAGGAGACAATCGCAAAAGAGGGCTATATTATGCGACTTGAATATGTTTACATTGCTATGCTGCTTTAGCATGAATGGGTCAGTGAAGTAACATGCTGTTTCTAAAGCATTCACGTTTATTTTCATTTGGATTTTACCACTGAGATCATCCATCTCATGTTAGATACTAAGATATACTATGTTAGACTTTACGTTAGCAACGACCCTTCCGAGTGTCAACAGGCAGCGCCTACCTAACCATGACACTTACCTTTAGGTAGTGATCAGTACAAGGAAGGCAAAGCTTTCGCACTTATTCTCTGTGTAAATAGCATTTATTAGAAGGGTTGATCATCGTACAAATAGATTCTACCATCAAAACGCATCTTTCATCTCCCCCAGATATTCATGTTGTTCATCGCTCTCAGCATTGCTAAGAAAGATCAGAATAGTCGATTCTGAGAAGACATAGCTTTCTCCCAATACGTGTATAACCGAAGAAAAGGCAGAATGGCTCATCAGAGCACCGGGATGGCATTTACTCCCATCCAGGGCGCCGAGCTAGAAGACTTCCTTGGAGACTCCAACGCTACCACGTCTCGCGCACCCGATGCGTTCATCACGCACTACTGCCATCTAACATACTTAGAAAGGCACGACCTAAGAGACCTGCTTTTTGCCTGGCTCGAGGTTTCCCACAATACCACCGACCTTCTCAGTCTCTGCCCAATCACACGATCTCAACGCGAGTCCTTCTTCTCCAGTATCTTCTCTGACTGGGATCCTTCCAAACCTACCTGCAGCCCAAAATACATACCTTATATGGGAACAGACGGAAAGATTGAAGTTGGCGTATGGAGCCAAGACCTCCCAATCTCGCGCGAGGAACGCGAACGTGCCCTAGAGAATGGAGAACAGGAACCAACTCGTCAACATAAGACAGCCAGGCAGGCTGGTCAGAAAGCGTTTATGGTTCCTTCAATGGAAAAAACGTGATCGCATTCCTATACGTGGACGCGGATGGCGAGTTCAATGATTTTCCAGGGCTTGTAACTTTCAAGCCAGGCGGCTTGACTCGTGAAGACTACATGCGAAGAAGTATCAAAGAGTACGACGAGAGCAAGACTTCCCGGGCTTATCAATACAATATCGAGGCCATAATTGACACTGCTCGGAAGCGAATCGTCAAATATTGCAATGACGGCGTTATGGAAGGTCGACTGCCCGTAAGTGGCCACAGAGTCCCTACACGGGTTGTTTTCGATCCGATCTTGCCCCAAATTGAGAGCGGTGACGCCTGTTGGGAGACATGATGTGCTTGCATCAGCAATCAACAACAGCTTGCCCAGCGCCAGAAGCAATCATATCTTGGAAAGGGTTGTCATAGGTTGGTCGATCCATGGCTGTTATCCAATCCGACTACTTGATTACATGTCAGACTTGGCCTGGAACATGCTCCTCTTATATCCACTGCTAAAATTTGGTCTGAAGCTCCCGGAGCGGAGATTAATCACTACGATGGCGCAACCCCAGGAAATCAATGCCTCTGGCACGCTATTTTCTGCTTGTATGTGTAATTACCTACGATACTAAATGCGATAGAAAGTATCGTGCGATGGTCGTAACTCGTGTTTTGAGTTCTGCGATGACCCGGGTATTCGATGCTGGCTCACGGTCTATCTGTGTTCAAGGGTCAAAATGAAAATCGATAGCGACATGAAATATAATGCTGTATGCTTTTGTTAACGGCATCGCATTGGTGCATAGCTTCAGAGTTGTCATCGATTCTGACGTATTGAAGGAAGAAGATCGATTATTTCAGCTATGAAGAATACTATGTAAACAAATAAAAAAGCCCAGTGCTGACAGAAGTCCCTACCTACCTGTCATGAGGCAGAAGATTCTTCCAGTAGATGTTGATATAATACTTTACCTAGATGCCTTATCTAAAGGTGCGTTTAGGTATACCTACCTTACCTATTTTTGTTGTCTTATCTCGACACATGACACACGTTCCATCAGCCGCATTGACCAGGTGACCGAGCTCCGAGATCGTCGTTGCTACCTATAGCTCAGCCTTCCTTGACAACATTCAACCAAGCATCCATAATTCTTACTTTTCACATTCCACCTTTCACCGATCCCGCCTTTCGACCTTTGACAACAAGAGTCATTTGCTTCTCCAGCTTGAACAAAGCTTCATCCCGTAAAATGACTCAGGTTACGCCTGCAATGCTGAGCGCCCGCGCTTCGTCATTATCATTGCGACAACAAGCGCTATCGTCGTCAGCTTCGCTCAACAACAATGCGGCTGCGCCCCGAAAGCCCGAATCGAAGCAAAGTTCCAAGAACTTTATCATTTCTGATATGAAGGGCCGCGATACAAAGGACAACCGTGTATGCGCTTCCTGTATTACCAAGCTTGCGCCTGATGAAGTCGGTCAAGTCAACTGGCATCTTGAGGCTGGCCAGGCTTGTAAACTGTGTCAGGTTGAGAAGCTAGACCCTGAGTGTTTTACCAAGCCTTTCTGCGACTTTCTTCGGGAGAACCCTACGATTTTTCACACCGTCGATTACTTTGAGAACAAGCTGAAGGCGCTTGGATATGAGCAACTCTCTCCCCGCGATAGCTGGTCGGGCAAGATTCAGCCTGGTGGTAAGTACTGGGTCACTCGGAATGGGAGCTCTCTTATCGCTTTCAAAGTCGGTAAAGCATATAAGCCTGGAGATGGTGTTGCTATGATCGGTGGCCACATTGACGCTCTCGCCGCGAAGCTCAAGCCCGTTAGCACAAAGCCTGTCAAGGCCGGATACATCCAACTGGGAGCTGCGCCCTATGCTGGAGCCCTGAATGCAACCTGGTGGGACCGGGATCTCAGCATTGGTGGACGGGTTATCCTCGATGATGAAGAAACCGGAAAGAAGACTGTAAAGCTCGTCAAGCTCGACTGGCCTATCGCCCGAATCCCCACTCTTGCGCCTCATTTCGGGGTCGGTATGATGGGAAACAACAACGCTGAGACTCAAGCCGTTCCTATTATTGGCCTAGAGAGTTCACAGCGTCCGTCTGCCGAGGCTCTTGGACCCGCTGGCTCTTTTGTCAACACTCAACCCCCACGACTGGTTGAGCTCATTGCCAAGGAGCTCAACATTCAGTCTTATAGTTCGATTGTTAACTGGGAACTCGAACTTTACGACTCTCAACCTGCTCAGACTGGTGGCTTGGATCGGGAATTCATCTTCGCTGGTCGCATTGATGATAAGCTCTGCAGTTGGGCAGCCCTTACCGCCCTCTTGGCATCTTCAGAAAACAGCGACGAGGGAGGAATAAAGCTCGTCGCCTGCTTCGATGACGAGGAGGTAGGCAGCTTATTGAGGCAAGGTGCGCGTGGTAACTTTCTTCCCTCTGTCGTTGAAAGGACTGTCGAGAGTCTATGTCCAGATGTATATGGACCAGGACTTCAAGGACAAACATGGTCTGCAAGCTTCCTCGCTTCTGCCGATGTCACACATGCCGGAAACCCCAACTTCCTTGAGAAATATCTCTCTGAGCATGTGCCAGAGCTCAATGTTGGCGTAACCATCACTTACGACTCCAACGCTCATATGACCACAGATAGTGTCTCGGCTGCTATTATGGAGCGGGCCGGTGAGCTTGGTGGATGTAGAACACAGAGGTTCCAAATTCGAAGCGACTCTCGAAGCGGCGGAACCATTGGGCCAGCACTATCTAGCATGCTCGGGGTGAGAGCTGCAGATGTTGGCCTCCCACAACTCTCCATGCACTCCATCCGCGCTACTACTGGCGCACTGGATCCTGGCCTGGGTGTCAAGTTCTTCAAGAGTTTCCTTGACAATTGGGAGAAGATTGACGCTGAGTGGCACTAGGGGCGGAAGTAAGGGTGTTTGATATGTGCTTCAGGGGCTTTGTTTTCGATACCTGCTTGGATGGATGTTATGGTAGTGGGAATTGGCGATTTTAGATTAGAATTGTACACGATATGGATAGATTGAGAACAATACGGAGTTTCCATTGTTTCATTTTTAAATGTCCATACCGCAACGAAGAAGGTTGAAGCCAGGGGTATGCAAATCAGTGTCTATTATGGGGTTTTAACTCCAACATGACTACTGTAGCACATCCATCCATTCAAAAGCCGATATCGACATCAGAACTCCAACCACCTGTCACTTCCATTGACAAGTATACCTAGCAGCAACTGAACCTTGATATCCATTAAGCTTGGATACGCCCTACACGAGCAAGCCATTCATTTCTGGTACGGGGGACGGCCTTGAAATATATTAGTAACAAGCCAAACACTTAGTCCAAGGAAGAAGACTTGCCGTTGGGATCTACCATGAATGCACCTCTGTTTCAATTCTTTCGACCCCCATAGCCCGCCTTAGGTCGCAGGGCCTCAAGGTCAGCGATAGCACAGTTCTTCAAATGCTGGTGTCTGAAGTACTCGGAGGCGAGAATTAGTCTCAACAAATTGGGGGCTCGGCACTCAACCCCAAGCTGAATAGGGGCTCCAGCACCAGCAATCGCCCACTTCTGAATACGTCTTCGAGCAGCCTCGACAATGAGCTGCAGATTATGCCCGCAGACTTTGTTCTTCTCCGAAATGTCGTAATGGGTCAAGAAATTATGCTTCGCCTGTGTCTCACTGAGCCCAACTAGAAGTTTTACTTGTGATTTGTAAACGCATTTACCAGTCTTGTCTTTGTAAAGCCACTTGATACCATCTGCGTCAAGGTCGAGTGAAAGATAGATCGGAATCGCGTTGCCCTTGCGGGCCTTGGAGCTTCGGCGTCCATTTGCTGGTTGGTTGCTGGAGGCATCTGTAGAGTAGTAGCCGACCTGGTAGTGAATGTCTGGCTTGCCACGCGCAGGCAGAGGGTCACTCTCGGAAACTGGCATCTTTGAATTCCAGTTCTTAAAGACAGTAATCCAGAAGTTCTTGTAGGTTTCATCGGCTGAGAGATAGACATCCCCCTTCCGCTGAACGTACTCGTACAGCTTGATGAGATCGTGCAGCCACATCTTCTCTTTGATGACGAGCTGGCTGTGCTCAGAAATACACTCATCAGCCGCTCGCGATTCAACGACGTCCTGATCTTCAAGGAGGTTCTTGAAACCGACTTCATGGCCAATCGGATGCGATGAGGCTGCTGGAGCTACCTGCTGGGCGGGAAGTCCAGGTTGCTCAGGTTGCTGCATGGCTAAGGAACTTCCACTTCCAGGAGTGTTGAGGGGCATACCCTGAGTGGACTGAGGCTGCGGTAGTGCTCCGCCTCGTGGGTCTTGAAGAGCAGCATATTGGTGCGCATGAGCCTGGAGTTGTGAACTCTGCTGGAAGTTTTGCTGAGAGGGATAGGGGTTCCCAAACTGCGGATGGAAGGGAAACACCGACTGAGTGGGAAATTGCGGTCCCATCTGAGGATACTGCTGTTGGCCAGCATGAGAAGCATACTGGAACGCCTGCTGAGATGGGTACCCATATGTATGCTGAGCGATGTTCGGGTCGATAGACTGCTGAGGAAAGACATTTGGCTGTTGTATGATATCCTGATAGGGAGTCTGCTGGGGAAGGGAGAAATTGGCAGCAGACTGCATGTTAGCATAGTCGGTAATGAGATTTTGAACATTGTGCTGTTGGTTGGGAATGTCAGGGACGAGTTCATCGACATGGTCAATGAGTTCCAAAGGAGCCGGAGGATGTTCTTGAGACTGATGATCCTGAGCAACCTGGGTATCCTGATGAGTTGCAGAGACTTGCTGAGCATGGGTAGCTTGAATATTGAGGACTTGGGGTCCTGTAATCGAGGCTGTCGCCTCAGGGCTATCGCTTGTGGTGGTGTTGGAAGCCATCGATGCCGACGATGCTAAAGCCTAAGCAATTGGAAGAAAGAGAAGAGAAACACAGATGAAGAAGAAAACAAGATAGAATATAAACGAAGGAGTGCAATGAAATGATTGCCGAAGCAACCGTCAGTGTCAGTGTCAGTTCTGTTCTGCGTCATTATCCACATTGCCAGTGCCGTGATGTGTCAGAACAGTCAATTTTGACAGCGGCAGCGGCAGTGGCAGTGACTTATGGATACCATTCAATACATAATTAGCAGTGGCTCTTTGGACTGAATAGTCATCAGTAATGTTAGTTCCTTGAAACCTGTCTCTTTGATCCCCCATCTTCTTCCTTCATCAAGATCCATCTTCGACTCATTTACATCAATAAACATACAGCAGTTACTTTACTCCAGAACTATCAACAAAACCACCAGCCCTTCAAGCTCCCTCAATGCCTCAATATGCCTGAGTACACCACCGAATATCTTCAGTATTGGGGGGATGAATGGATTGCTCGTTGGCCAGAGGGTCACTGGGCTTTGGAAAATATAGCAAGGTGCACATTGCAATACCTGAAAATATACACGAACTTCGATGTCTGCTCCGGACTGTCGACAAGCCCTTCCTATAGATACAGGACTGAGCGTATCTTTGGCGTCGAATGGACACCACATGAGGCTGATGGCACTACCAAATACGAAGTCTCATGTGGCTTCAGCGAACTCGCCTGGCTGGAAAGCGAGTGGGCCAGGGATCGTTTGGTAAAGTTCGAGGAGCCATACTGGTCGAACGAGCTTATTGCAGAGGGCCAGTTTATGTGCGGCTGTATCTCCGGCACTCTTTTCAAAATGGTACTTTGGATCGATTGGGTTGAACGACGCTGGGACCGAATTGTCCGTCAGGTCGAACGTCTGCTCACGGCCCACTCGGAACGTGAAGCAATTATTGAAGAAGAGCTGGAGATATCCTCTTGAGGATGATAACCCAAGGAGATCCTTAGCCAGAAGACGTACTCCGCAGAGTCTTTCTTGATCGACTTACACCAAGCTTTGGAAAGAATCCCAACATACGGTATGGAGATCGGGATGAAGATGCATGAGATGATGCCAAGTCTTGTTCACTGTCAACATTCTCACGCAAGTTGTAAGCTTCTTACATGTCCCGTGACCTCTTACTAATTGATCATAGATTGCGCCAAAGGTCCAGCCTAGTACCTCTGAGGTGCGAATCACTCGATCGCAAGGTCACCTTCGCTTGATACCAGTCAAAAATGGTCTGCCACACCTATGTTTCTTACGTTCTGTTCATTTTCCAGTGTGCTAACCCTGATTCGTTGAACGTATCAATCAAGTCAGAGGAGAAGTTAAGGAAAATCGCTTCCCATTGTGTCTTGCGATGGACTGTTAGTTTTGCTATTGTTGGGAGATTGCAGCTGGCTGTTGGTAGAGTATTATACTTTAAAGGGGAGTAATAGTCTCCTGTCTCTTTGCCAACGAAACTTGTATTGGTGTTTACAGCTTCTTCTGAATCTCATAGGATAAGATATGTCTTGGCGTTTCTATCTTGATAGCCAAGAAAATTGATTTTACTAAGAAGTTGTGTCTATTATGGTATAATCAATAGTGGTGTCAACTTCCATGGCAATGATGAGTCAAAGAAGGAGGACGTAAGGTCTGAAAACTCCCTTAGTTGGACCAGGGCGAAAAAGCAGTCCCATACAAGGCAACAGCTTTGCAATTTACACACTCCCTTATGATCAAACTATCAAACCAGGTCCGTGGAAACTTGACCTCAAGAAGCAATTTCTCGCTGAAAGGGGGTAAAGGGGGGTGGTACGACAACAATCACAATGACAACAAGACATGACGAGTAATTCACTGAACATATGCTTTATTAATGTGATGTTCAATCTTAACTTCGAGAGACGCTGCAAGCTCTCAGTGTTATATGCATCGATTGACGCCTTTGCTTACCTGAATAAATGGCAGACCCGAATGCCTACGTACCTAAGCAAATAAAGGATCTGCAGTATCAGGTTAAGTTCGGTAGATGAACTGGCAGTGCCAAACACTGTGGTGCCAGTAAAGATCTGGGAAAAGAGCAAGCAAAAACAAGGCCAGTGGGGATCTCCTTCACTGCACACCCGATTCTATTCGCCTTTCGCATCATCTCCTATACCAAGTGCTGAAAGGCAACCTCACATACGTGTTGCTGTATTTGTGTAAGCTTTTGGTCTACAGTATTCTCACCTATCTTGACTGACCGAGAAAGAACACAGTCTTCTTCCATCGCCGACTACGCCATGGCCTCCCAAGGGCGCGACAGGCTGATTCTACGAGAAGACATCATTAGCGACAACAAGGTGGCTTCTTCAAGAGATCCCAGTTCAGTCCTGCGCAACCATATAATGCTCACCAAGGAAGAGAAACTCGCTCTCATCCAACATGCCCAAGAATATGCCTCGGTTCTGGTTCACCAACGAGGACAAACTACCGCCAACTCGGAGAAGCTTTTGAAGAAGTTCTACGCCGAAATATTTCTCCATTGGTCAACTTCGCAAAAGAGAAATATTGGCCCATCATCCACTTGTCGCGAAGATTCGCAGACTCTTGTAGGGTCCAGAAGATGACTTGTTCCAAAGAAGCTGTTAATGGCACCACGCAAAAGTGTGGCAAACCTGTTTATTTAAGTTTAAGCGTTAATAAAGACGCTGAGTCCATAGAGTGGACTTGGAACGACAGTGATGGTCGGAGTATTGATCCAGATCGTATTGAGTTTGAGCCAGGCCTCACCGTCACTCAAGCCAAGATCAATGCTATTCACAACTACGACAACCATGAGCGGCGGCGAATCAGTTCCTACAACACTCAGCATATCATCTGCGCTACGCTTAGCATTCTAGTCAAGTGGGCAGCTTGTGGAAGTGAGGGTCCGCTCAAGATCGAGCCAGAAGACATGGTCAGCAGAATCCAGCCACTTGTGCTTGCATCGGACCTTGCCCGCTACATGGCCTTCACGTACTCTCGGATTGTGGAAGACATGGATGGAGAAAGCGAGGGTGGAACTGAAGACCCTGACTCTGACTGAAGCGTGTTCGCAGCGCTTCGTAATACTGAAAGGTCATATGTAGATGAATGAAGAACGACTACAATATGATGAACAAGGCATACACCGATACACAAAGGGGCACTAGATTTAGTTGATGATAGGAGACATAATAGTATACCGGCTTTAGTTTTACCGAAAGCGAGATAATGAGATATTATAATATGACCCCTTTTTATTTTGATAAAGACATGCCGGTGGACTTCAACAGCACGCGACAAGCCTAGAGATGAGGACACGGACTGTGGCAACTACTCGACACGTATCACTTCTAAGCCCAGAGTTTGATGTTGGTCTTCCTGAAAACACAATCTGATTTGATCTAGAGCCGGCGAACGACAAGTATTAAGGCTCGTCATTGCAAATCTGATTCCTTTCAGCTAAATCGCAATCTAACCGTGCCGTAACGGGATAGATCCACGGAAATATTAACCATTTCAGCCACGCCAAAACATCATTTGATCTCGTAAATGTCCGGTAATGAAACTCAGGTCTCCAAGGGAAATAGTGAAGCGGTCTACTGTGACTTGCTTTCATATAGTTTGGTATACCTCCCCATTCTGAGAAAATGTCAACATTCAACCACTTTGTTCAGAAAAAGGAGAAACATACCGCTTACGGAGAGTCTTTTCACGACCGAGGACATGGTTTCGCATGTTCTTGGCTTTAGAAGCAGCTTTTTTTATTCTTCTGCGGGCCTGGCTCATCTTTGCTTTCATTCGTTGCCCGTATTCCTCGATGGACTTTTTGGCTCGTTGTGAAAACTGTGACGACCTTGAAGATTGATCAGATTTGGAAGGACTCAAAGATCTTGAGGGCCACGAAGACCGCGACCATAAGGACCGTATCGATCCACTCATTGTGCCAAGAGAAGTATGAGAGGAGGTTTGCGAGTAGTAAATGGTGTCGTGATGCTGAGGTTGTGGGCGAAGTAGAAAATGTAGCAGCAAGGAGTGAAGAAAAGGAGCTACTGAACAGTGAAAGAGATGTCCAAAGTCAAGTAGAGAGCATGTCCCTATATACATGTCTTGAATGGAAAGTACTTTCGGGTCACTAGATAGCCGTGAAATGGTTACAATCTCTGATTCGATTTACTGTCACTTACACGTTAAGTATCTGATGAGACTCCCAATGAAAGACCTGTTCATTTCCACTCAAGAAACCCAAGATGTGAATTCAAGCCATGATTCGCCCAGCAACTAACCCAATAACGGCAACGATTGGTAAGTGTTGCGTCGTTAAGGAATCTGAGCCTTATTTTCACATTAGATTCAGAAGTTAAACCTCAAGACAAAGTTTAATATGTATCTCATGTGGCATTCTCTCACACAAGGACCCCAGGCTGGCCAATTGGGCACCAGTACTCTTTGAGTTCTGAGATTAGGAGAGCCTGGAAGCATAGTTCACCACACGCGTTCTTCGATCAGCTGGGCTTCCAGTAGATAGATGTATGAACTGCAACCACTGGGCTAAATGAATGAGATAGGGACGACAAGTGACGGGAGACAATAGTTGATCCTGAGATTTATTGAATAAAGCTGAGATGCTATCAAATGTGGCCGCTCGTACAAAGTCTTGCGTAAAGTGTATGTGTATGTAAAGATATGTCACTTTCAAGGAAGTGAGCAACACATTAAGCTTCAACCAACATAAATAAATATAGTCTACCTGGAATGGATGGCCAGAATAATGTGGATTTAATCGCTAATACAAAAAAATGATTAATTTTCGCATTAGATAGACGAATCTCAATCTGTGAATACTTGTTCCGTAATGCAGCACCTCTCGAGATCCAATCTGTCATTAGACTCTCAATATCGTACTCTATCTTTTTGCTTCGTATAAGTTTGTTTCCCTTCTTTTGAAAGTGCTGCGTTCCATTTCCCCATTTTATATTAAGTCTTATGTTTCTGTTTGGCGGCTTGCTTTTGGCCTTTTGTCCTGGTTGCTTTCCATGCAAGAACTCGCAATATTCACTGACCTCGCTCATAAGAAGCACCAAGTCCACTTATGAACTCGAGTGCCCCGGGGGGCAAGGAACATTAAGACCTTGAAACAGAGTGTGGAAATAAACTGGTCTAAAGGCCTGCTAAGATATACTAAACTTACCTAAGCCTTTCGTCCCTTAGGATTCAGGTCCTAGGTTTTCTTGACTCCTCTATAAGGGTGACGAGAATCTACATCTGGAAGACAGTGTCGTTTGGTATTGCAGTCGGTGCGCTGGATGACGATATTCAAGCATCTTGCTGTAAATACATTGTCAAGGTTGATGACCGGACACTGGCAATACCCTGGCCTGCAAAAGACCAAGCCTGATGCCCCTTGGTTCAAACGCCACCAGGTTCACGGTCGGGTTCACGGTCGAAATTGGGGCATGCCTGACGACACCCTGAATGACGATAGCACTGATGGCACGGGTTATCAGACGGATGAGAGTCTGAAGAGCACGATGCCTGTGTAGGACGCAGCAGCAAGCAAGTATGTCGCACCGAAAAACTGGAAAGCGCCCATTTTCATATCGATTGATTTTGAGGATCTTTGCTGGTTCGCGACCGGCGAGTATGCAAACGGCACCCAATACTCATACAAACCAATCACTGAACTGGGTTGGACGTGGTTCGATACACGCCCCATGGTTGAATTCTCGATCAAGGAAGCAAAGCAATACCCACCCCCCGGAGACCGAGCCTCCAACCTATTCTACAAAATGCACCCAAGCCACTATATCATCAACGAATTCCGAGGTCACTTCGGTGGCAACTGTGGGAAATACCACGTCACAGAACCTTACAGCTTTGAATTCGGACCATCTCAGTACATAGATTCAGACCAACTGGCCCCAACTCTCGAAAGCCTATTCAAGAACTCCCTCAAGTCTAGAGAGCGCACTAAACACGAAAGAAAAAAAATAAGATCGATCGGCACATTGTTTTCTTGACATGGGACTCCAGCCTAGAGGAAGACACCCTCGCACGTCTCGGTCTAGATTAGTTTTCACGACCGAACGTCGAACTCTTCGATCTCCAACAGCACTGCCTCCTCGGAACGAAAAGAAAATGTTAGGTAGTCCTGGATGCTGTTGGTCTCCGTTACAGAGACAATAGGCTCTATCGCGCCGGGGACAGAAAGAAAGGAGGCCATGAACTACTGCACAATGGTGCCAACGATACAATGTTTCAGATCCAGATTCTCCTAGAGCTTCAGTACATGGACCCAGAGCTGAAACCCAAACTTATAGCAAGGCTTATATCTGGGCAAGATCCGATGACTCCCATCACCACATGGCTCAACTTCGCCTGGAGAGGTAGCGTGCTGGACATGATGAACGAGCCGCTAGTCGACCTCGAGGAAGTCCCGCAAGAAACAAAAGCCCACCAGCTCACAGTCAGGACTGAGGCGCGTATGAACGACAACACTGTTCCCCAAGCTCCACCACAACCCAAACAGGGGCGGAACAAGAGGAGGCGATAAAACACTGGCCACTGCTCCTGATACTGACACATATCATTCAACCTCATTCCTCCTCCCAAATACGACTAATGGCGGGCGAGTAGGCTGGTGAGAAGTTGCCAGGTGGTAGTTCCACTGGGAGTGAATCAGGGCATAATGTCGCGATTCTGATTATACCTACCTACCCGAGCGGCAGAATGCTTGCCAGTTGCTGGCACTGCCTGACACTTCAAGGCTCGTCTCCTATAGTGTGCCTCAGGTTTACCACAGGTGAAAACTTTTCTTATGATGTTTACCATTCAACTCCCCAACTCCTTAACTCCTCCACCCCTCCGCCCCTCATATCCTTATCTCCCTCTACCATATCAATAGACCTCACAATACAGGAACTACGGTATTTCTATCTGCTCCTACTAGCACAATACCAGAGCTAACGTCTCCAGATGCCGGAATATTCTCAAGCATACCTCGATCACCTTGGCGAAGAGTGGATGACTCGATGGTCCAATTGCACACCAAGCATGAGAGACTATTCTAGAGTTGCTTTGGAGCTGATGGCAACCATCACCAACCCCGCAATCATTGATCGTCTCTCGGATTGCAAAGCCTATCTACCTAGCCTGTGACTGGACACAGGCGCAGTTGCTGGACTGAATCAGCCATTCTTGACAACGAGTTCAAATCGGCACCTGGTATCTTTAAATTGATTCAAATCACCATTATTTCTCCGGGCCTCGGTCTACGATCGAACTTGGTGGGTTTTTCTTTTTGCCGCTTTTGAGCATAGGTGTCCCCAGAAGGTCAATGGATATGGCCCTTGGTCGACACATTTCAGAAGCATAAAAGAAAATCAGGCTACTGTTATCCTCATTCTCGGTCTTCTGCAAGAAAATCAGACCATGGCTGAATCGGACGGGCCATGTTTCACTGACGAGTTCGTCACCAGACTTGAACACTGTAAGTTCGCTATCAACGTGAGAAACTGGCATCTAACCATCTGAACAAGCATCGATCCCTTGGGCTTCGAAGCGATCAAGATTTACTTTCAAAAGCAATGCAGTTGCGATGAAAAGGGCCGTTCCTGCCCCTGACGAGTTGCAATAACTATACCTTTTCCCCATCCTACACCTTCTCTCCGCACCATCATAAACCACAACTTTCATACCTATACGAGATATTTCGCAGTACCATATCGGCTGGTAAAAGCAGGAGATATATATCGTCTTTATAAGCAAGGCGGTACGATTTAGCTGCGGATTAAAGCTATTCTAGGACGGCCTGCACTCAGTCTCGGACGGACTACTTGGTCTTTGCATCCCCTCATCCTTCTCATCTCCATTCCCTCGCCAACTCTGATCCGAAATGGCGAACCCGCAACCCCCTGTCGTCATCATTATCGACGACGACGATGCTCTCATCCCTCATCCACGAGATCCGGTCCCTCAAGCTCCTCCTCCCCAACACCCCCCGCAAGCTCCTCCCATCCAAGGCATCTCAATTATTGAAGCCATTGACCAGACTGGATATAGTGCTGGGCGCCCCCCGATGTCCTTGAAGATCAGGGGTGTTTGTAGTGTTGAGCTAACCTTCTTTGGCCGCGGGATTGGAGGTTCTTATACGCCTCTAAGGCCGGCCAAAGAGTCATCATCTAGGTTTTCCTCTTATCAGCCTTATGCTGTAGCAATTGGTCAGACATCTTGGTATAATGTCTAAGTTGTGAGCTGGAAGTGTTATTTGCTGCTGAGACCTGTGGCTGAGAGCTTAATCCAGCCGAGAGAACCTAGCCCCCCGATGTCTATCCTCTTTTACGGAAGGATATCTAACACGTGCTGAACTCACAATTTTTATCGACCTCGCACAAATGATGCACGACGTCGAGGAAGGCCCCAATGTCCCATATCAACTCAAACACTGGAGACACTTCTGGGAACAGAATGCATTCAAGAACTGGGATACCACGTCGGGGAATACTGACGACCTGCCGCTTCGGCCCGTTACTCTACAAGAGAATCGAGTCAGGGTCGGCAAGCTCAAGGTCAACCACCCACCAAGTCTCGAATTTCCTAATCCACCTGGCCCGGCGCGACTTTCTGGCTGCCCCATCTATATGAGCGTGTCTCCTGCCACCAAAGACCAGCTCATTCAACTCATCTGGAAAGACGAGAACGGAAAGTTCATCAATCCTCGCTATGTGGAAATGGATATGCCAGTAGGAACCTGCATCGATCTTGCCGTCCTCAAGTTCGACCGGACCGCCACTTCGCGAATCCAAGAGTACAACAAGGCACGCATCACGAATGCTGCCCGCCGCCGGCTGATACATCTCGCTGCTGTAGGTACGGGAGTGGCACCATCCGTTACTGCAGAAGGCCAAGCACCAATCCTCGAGGTACCTGAGCTGGTCGGACACCGTGTTGCGGAGACAGCAAACATCTAGCAGACTGCGCTGGAAGCCCAAACTCGCCGTCAGCGTCATCAGTAAATCTCCCGCCTCTACCGCAGGTGCCAGAGGTGGGCGTCAAGTTGGCCTTTACCATTCAGTATATATGTCTTCATATGTTTGTCGGTCAGAGGCGAATATGTCGCTCGCTTCTACACTCGTCGCATGTGGTTCGACTCAACAGCACGCCGCGTTGATGAACCAGGGTTGTTGTTGTTGTTCAGGCTTCATGGCATCAAAAGCGGAAATGCGCGTCTGATATTTTGTTATGTTATAGTTACTCTTCAACCATCTATGCTATAGCCTTTAAGGTAATTAAGATTGCGAAAGCCTCTTGATACTTGACTCAATACAACAAGTTGACGTAAAACTTAAATTCAATATTCTTGTTGGAGCTCAACACACGTGAGGGTATATACTCAGCTTATTAGCTATGACTTTCCGGTTTATGAGAGTAGGTCTAGATATAAGGGGCTCTATAGCAAACTGTACAGACCAAATAGGCTTCCGTGGCGCCTTCATTATGTGTAGCCGTTGCATGACCGTTGGGTGTCAGTACCAGCCCAAACCTCCACCTCAATAGTAGAAGTACAGCTTTTCCATCGGTTAGAGACACAGGACTTCCGATTTAATCCGCCGAAGACAAGCCTATTCTCGTTTCCGGATGAAGTTGCAAACTTGGCTGATCATGACATAACTTGACAAACAGGGATAGGCAGTAGCAAACATCATTTACATGTGGCAAAACAACTGACTCAAGGCAACGCTCCTCTTCCGTTTTGGTACATGAAGTTTATATTTTGGCCCAAAGATGAGCCGCTAACGGCCAAACAATGACTTTGTGGAGTTTGAGTTTATGTGCCTGCAGCACCTGATGATAGACTTTTACGGGGACAGTCCGCTTCCCAATCGTCTCCCCGCGGTTGCCGGGAAAAGCAGCTGTCATGGTTCCACGAGCAGTCTTTGTTCTTGTGTGGCCTCGGATTACCCAGGTGCTTGGCAAGTCTAGATCTATTTGTGCGTGAGGTCGTGATACCCACATATGCCTCACCGCTGATGTGCTGAAGTGATTTCACAATAGAGGTAGGTCACTGTCAGAGGAAGCTTTTAGGCATAAAGATAACTGTTATACATTATTAAGGCTATTAATGCCAATCCTAGTAATACTGGCTGTTCAAAACAATCATTACCCTTTCATCATCATTAATTCCATCTCATGGTTTACCAAGATACTCCAGGTTAAGGGCTGTACTTCTCCCACTTGATCTTGGAAACATCCTTGTAGCACTTGGACTCAAGGGCGTACTTGTGGCTGGAGTACGATCCCTTAGGAAGAGTTTCCAACTCGGCACACTGGGGCACAAGGCGGATGGGAGCACAGCCCTTGGGAATGTTGCGCTGGATCTTGTTGTTTTTGTCGATGGTGAGGTGTGCCTGCTCAATGACGATGAAGTGCTTGCCCTGGTAGTATTCCAAGCTCTTGTTACACGCCACAAAAGTCTCGGGCAGCAGATATGTGTAGGGGTCCTCGGGCTGGTTCAACTGAACACCGGGTGTGCCGGGCTCGAAGTTGAGAGTAGCACCGAAAAGGTTCTTGTTCTTCTTGTCGGCCACGAGAGCGATGCCATTGGGAGTCAAAGGAGTGCCACCGTCGCTGATGATAGTAGCCTCGCCGTTTTGGCGCTCCTCCTTGGTACCGTTTTGGTAGAAGATACGGCCGTCCTTCTCGATAACTCCGACGAGGGCGAGGCCGGCTCCGGTGTGAATGCTGGTGAGCTCGGTGTTGTGGATGGGAGGATGAAAGTCCTTGGAGTGGTCTGTGACGTTGACGACGAGCTTGAAGCCCTTTGATGTCGACCGTGAAGGGTATTTGGGGTTCACGTTGATGTGAGGCTGGACCGGTGAGGCCGCTGCAAGGCCGAGGAGGCTGAGGAAGAAGGTTGAGGTGAGCATGGTTGTTGAGAGGTAAAATCTGAGAAGGGAGGATGGGAAGAGGATGACAAGAAGCAAGTTAATGTCTTGTCTATGGTGTTTGTAGTCTTTGAAGAGAATTGATGATACTAGCAAGCCAAGAAAGAGAAAAGAGCGATGGCCGAGTGCTTTAAATGTTTGCCTCAAAATCGTCCGTCCTGGTTCTCAGCTCAGCCGATGTAACGATGAAGTCCATCACAGCTGGGCTGGCCGATCAGAACCTGGAAGTGGCTGGCCTAGCTGGCTAGCATCGTGAGGTGACTAGCGGACCCTCAGTGGGTATTGAGCCCATCAGTGGTCAGAGTGGAACCGGCTCCAGTGGATTGCAGGGGGTTTAGCGAATGGCTAGAGGGATCGCCGGTGCGGGGAGTTCCAGCCGTGGCCAAGTCGGGGCCTTTAATACGAGGGTCCTGCCGCTACTACTTCATTGGATGGGTGTTTCTCTCCGGATGGACAGAAGAGACAGATGCCATTCACGATGTTGAGACCAGTATCAGAGGCAAGATATACAAATATTACTATAATGCACTGACTACCTACACAATCTCAAACACACCCAAGCAAGCAAATGAATATCGTCATGAAAAGGTCCAGTTCTTCTGACGTCAAGAGATTACGATGCTCAATCCCTTGTTTCGAAACATGAGAAGATCCCAGTCCAATCATTGAAGATCCGATATCCATAATTAGCTTCCTTTTTTATCTTTCAAATGCCATTCTTCCGTCACATGCTACGATATCCATTGGTCTTTTTTTTTTTTTGTCCCTCGCCGATAAAACCCAAATCTGTGGATCTAACACTAACGATTAGTTAAGGTAGCTAACGTACATGCACAGGCGAGACCGATGCCAAGGAATAGGATACGATGGTCTTTGTTTGACAGGACGGAGGCTGGCCTCAGCCTCATGTTACGCGAAATGGCGGTCCATCCTCATCATGGACATTCCGTTTTGTCAAACGTTGAGCTCCATCGCGTGGCATTGCAGTCGCAGGGGTTGGCTCACTAGTCCATTGTCTGTCAACGTTTTATGACGTTTTTGTTAGGATCTCAACAGATCTTTACGAGATGGCGGTCTCAGATCCCTTGAGATGATATCACCAGGGTCTTTTTGTATGTGTCACTGCGATGATCTTTCATGTCCTGCATCGTGAATTATATCATAAATGTGGTTCATATCTCAATTATGTGTAGCCTGTTCATATGAGATCACCAACATTCCTCCAGAATAGTATCGTTAGAGTCGGAGTTTTCAGGCGAGCATTTTCTTCCAAACGTAAACTCAATCTCGATGCCCTATCATGCAACTAATTGAAGCATAACGTTACTTGGTGGCGGCTTAGACGTGAAAACACCATCATGATCATATGATGCTAGTCAGTCCAAACCTCTCATGATTTGAAATGGTATTTGGTTAGTCAATGTCTATTCTTGATAACCGTATCCTCAATTCCTCCTAGCCTAGGAACCAGGCTCGCTCATGGCTTCAACGGCGTGGTTTGGTTGTGGAGAATGTCTTCAGTCTAGACCTGGGCGAGCTGACGACTCTCTCCATTTGTATTCCACTTGTTATGGTTTAGGCAGTAACTCTACCCCAAGCTGTGGCTTGATGACGTCGTTGAGGTGTACCGAGTACTGCAATGTCTATGCGTCAGGTTGAGAGATAAAGCATTGCTTGTCTGGGTGTAGATGCGGTGAGGCAACTAAAAGTCCTACGGTATTCTCTCGCCAAGTCTGATATCTCGAAAAGCCAGAGCCTCAGTTGGAGGTGGTGGTCAGACTGTCAGGTGTTGGTTGCAACTTATTACACTTCGCCAGGCACAAGTTTACCTTTCTACTACCACCTCCAATAAGCAACCGTCGGAACTCTCAAGGGAGATAATTAGAGTACACCATCAAATCCATTGATTTCACTCCAAGACATCATCTCCTCAGCCCGGGCCGTGTAAGCCAAAGTTCCCGCTGGCCCCTACCTCTGTGTATGTATGTATGCAACCACATCGATCACCAGCCAATAAGATAAGGTAGGCCTCCCCTAGCGGGCATTTTTACACTTCCGACCAACAAACATGGCCAACCAAATACCAATAACATGACTTCTGACCTCCAGTTGAGGGGTTGAGGGACAATCATTGGAACTTGCCGGGCCAAGAGGTTGCGAGAAAGCCTACTCAAGGTGCCATTTTAAGCCATGCCGAGAGTATATGAGACATACCTAGAGAAAGCAACAACAGAGTATAAAGTGAAACGCTTCGTCTGAGAGTTTCTTTGTGAATGCACCCTCTTTCCAATCCCATTCACAGCGTCGAGTTCATGATTGATACTCAATCACTTCCCCAGATTCAGGACGAGCCTACGGAATTAAGCTTCGTAGGCTCGGACAATTCGCTCAGCTGTAAGTTAAAAGTGTCAGGCTCGAGTCATTATGCTTGGGGAATACTCCACTGGCCGCTGTACTGACGTTACACCGCCTTGTATCTAGTCTCTCCCACAGACTTCGAGGCCTTGTCCGCAGTGACATACTCTCAGGATGTGGATCAGAACCTCATAGACTCATGGCCGAACGAGATCGTTTCTCTTGGCCCTTTGATGGATCAAGAGGATGTCCTTGGCTTGGCTATGAACTCCGTAACTCCAGCTGTGGACGACTTCTCTGGCCTTGACTTCGCAGCGCCGATTATCGGGATGAATTCGCATCTCAGCGACGTCGAAGCAGCTCCCTTTGACCTTCCATCCTCGCCTGTATCTCTTCTAGATCTTCCTGAATCCGCATATGAGGTGATTCCAGGGTATGTATCGCTCTCTGGCTCCCCAGACCCCACATCCACTCTATAGAGTGCGGGTTCTGTTTGCAGCCAGTCGAACGATACAGTCCTTGACGCATTCTCTCCTGTAGTTTTAGGAAGTGATGGAACTCAGATACAATCTCTTGACCTCATCTCTCCAGACTTTAGTTCTCCTCCTGCTGAGACCTCGACAGATAATAGTTCAGGTTCAGAAACGAGCAGCAAGGCAAGGTTCGAAGAAGATACCGTCACTCGTCTGAAAAGTGACGAGTTTGCAAGAAATGGAATATTTTTTTGCAACTGGCCCGAATGCGACAAGTTCTTCGGCGAGAATCGCAAGCGGAAGTGAGTCTTTGATCCCTTAATTGCGTAGGCCGAGCTACTAACGAGAACTCAGCAACCATCTTCGAACTCATATCAGACCTGTTCACTGTTCCTGGCCTGGCTGTAACTATACAGATGTTTGGCAGAAGGATATGAAACGTCACTACAAGACTCACCGCTCCCGGAAGACCTTCCAATGTTTGTTATGCAATGAATGGTTTACCCGGGAGTACAACTTGAGTCGACATGAGCGGGAGGCACATCGTGGAAAGAAGAGGGAGAGGAAGCGCCGTAGCTAGTCGGTCCTTTTGATAGCGTGCACCAAGAGCAGATTTAATTGTTATTCTTCCATTGCTGGTTTCTTTCTGAATATACAATTTGTATGGTAGTATAACTAAAACCTTAGATATATGCTCCTTTCACTTCAAGCATCCAATCCTGCGCCTCCATCCGACTCAGTATCACTATCCTCACTGTGATCGCTGAATTCATCTTCATTTATATATGCCAATGAGGCAGAATCTGTGAGGATTGATGTCAATATATCGTTCGACAGCTGGCATAAATCTGTAATAAACTCACCATCACTCCATCCATCACCGATTCCCAAGACTTTGTCAGCCTCAACCTCGCCGAGGCTTACAGAGCTCATAGTCTCGGTGATATTCGTTACAGAGTCGGGCTGCCATGGGGTAGGCTGTTGCTGAGTTTCGATCTGCTTTTCAACTGCTGTACTCAGCTCACTACTAAGCATTCCCAAGGCTTTACGCTGGTGTGGCCAGTGCTCATTCTCCCACCCGCCTGGCAACTTAATAGGTCTCCAGTTCAGGTACGCTTTCTGATGCGACTCGGGCTCCTCGAACCTTCCAGGGTGGTGCCTAAAGTAGAATTTGCAGCATAGACATGCAAGCTTGCTGCATGCTATATAGCGATCACCATCGACGAAGCTTCGTTGGTTGCGATGGAATTCTTCTAGCACTTGAATCTCGGAGTGCACACGTGCTTGGCCGTTATCCTCGTCGTACATGGATCTAATGGCATCTTCCAGTTTTAGTGGCCCATCTAATCGAGCGAGATAACTCTGCATATCCTTAAGGCGGGGATCCCCAGGCTGCAGTATCCTTTTCAAGATGGAGTTGAGGTTCCTGAGTCCATCCGCTGGTGGAACAATTGCTGGGGTAGGGGCCTGAACTTTCTTGATCTGATAAGAGTTGAACAGTAGTCCTAACTTGAGAAAGTCTTCGATCAGAAGTGTTGGAATGCGGATTCGCTCGGCAAGACGACCTATTAAATGTCTGACTGCCTTGATGTTCATTACAGTTTCTCGAGGTGCAACGCCAAGCTCTCTACTCAGAGACCCAAGGCTCGACATCTGAGGATCATGTCGAGAATCGTAAGCAGTTTGACAGAGGACTAGAGTGTCAATATTAGTGGCAGAGAATCGAGGTAGCCACTCTATGAGGGATCTTCTTTCTATGATAATCTCTGGTTAATTATGCCTCTTCCTATGGTTATGGCCCAACTTACCAGCTCCTTGGACAGCTGTGGCATCTTCTATAAGATACTTTTCGCAGTAACGAGTAGCCCGCAATAATAGCTTGCACTCTTTCTTCAGTCTTGGGGCTGCAAAGCCAACGCAATTCTTTGTCAACTTCTTTCTCAGCCTTTCTCGTTCTTCCTCGGTCCCTTTTGGGTCCCTTTGTAGCTGCTGAAGAGTATCGTCGAGGAACAGAATGACATTATTGTGCGGCGTGAAGTTCGCGGCAACCCAGAGAATAACCTCGTTTGTCTGTGATTCTAGAGCGATTGAAGTAGTAGTGTCTCCGCCCTTTCGGTAATCGCAGATGAAACACAAGTTTTTGAGGAACCTGCGCCTGATACCTCGAACATCAGTTGGAGCATGGGCGGTGATCATGTGAGGGCCATCAATGCCTTTGAGGATATGGAACAGTGCAAGATTCTCAAAAAGACGTGAGAGAATCTTGTCGTATTTGTCTAGACGAGGCGGTCCCACGCCCATGGTGTTGATAGTCAATGCAGGAGTATGGGTAAAGTAGTAAGAACCCTCTTTGAAAGGGAGGTAGGGATCAACTTTATATAACGTTGCTTCGCTCTGTTATTCCATTTTGACTTTTAGTTGAGGACGTATAGCCTTGTATTTGTACCCTCCATTTCATGTTGGTTGGCTTCCTGTTGTAAGTCTAAGGCAGAATGGGCCGAGTGTGGTCTACACTGAGGCTGGGTTGCCCCTGGTTATCACAAACCATCCTCTCTGACTTAAAAGCACAGAGAAAGTGGAAAAACACTAATGATATTCCAGGGCGCATATGGGAGAGTGCGTGCAAATCCGCCAAAAGCAAACTGCACGTTGATGACATCCGGTGGAAAGGTGAGTATCTCAGGGCCGCTGAATGGCCAGACTTATTAGAGCTGTGCCAAGTAAATGAGCCTGCTCCAGGTATGAATTGCCTTTTGATTCTCCAAACCGCTTTGATGTTTCCTCCCTCGTTTCCAATTGACACAGGAATATCTGAGCCCATTCGTTCTATCATGAACCCATATTTCAACCAAACCTACCTTACAGTATGAACCTTCTATTCAATCCAACGGATGTCTTGACTAAAACAATGTACGATTTGACAGTGGGCCCATCCCGGTACACACTCAGGCGCTGACACTTCTACCTAGACTACAAGGGTAGCGGGCATAGGTAACGGCAACGGTGAAAAGCAATGAAATCCATTGATATAGGCTAAAACAAACGATATAAACTTTTTCTCTCCTTTTCTATCTGAAGTGCTTAATTCATTCTGATGAAACAATCCATACTCCCGAGGCACTGGGACCTACCAAACATGGAACGAATGGACAGTGCTTCAGTTGACCAGGACAGGGCTGATGGCGCTAGATGACGGAGCGAACCCCGCTAAACTAGGTAAATCTCGATCTGGTTGGCCCGTCCAGCTTTGGCGTGATGCGAGAGCTTCGCCAAACAGGTCCACTTCGGGAAAATCGAGAAATTCCATTGCCATGGATTATTATTAGGCATGAGCTACAGCTCCCCCTCATACTCACTCAGTCATACCCTGACTTTTCTTTCCTTGCATCATCCTCTTCTCCAGGTCCCTCGTCGCTCAAGGTAGCTCGCCAACCATGCCTTCGCTGGACAGGCTGCCAAACGAGGTCCTCTGTAATATCGCCGGCTTCTTGGTCAAGAAATATGATATAGCTAGCTTATCACGAGCCAACCGACACTGCTACGATATCGCCAACCCGATTCTCTGGAAACGCGAAGCTCGATCGGACCGACCGGGTGCCATACATTGGGCTGTCGAACATGGAGACATCAATACCTTGCGCCGTGCTCTCGAAGCTGGCGTTGACGCTTCACGGGTAGCCTTCACCCATAGACCCAAACCACGCATCGGCCCTGACCATAAGTGGTACAACTATCATTCGAATTACTACGACGACCCTGTTTGGAGGATTCAGGACGATGACCACTCAGTTGATTTAGACGCATCATATGTGTTACACGACGCGTGCGATTGCTTCGAAAGCGGTTGCGATGATGGCATATTTAGCGATTGCAGGTGGGAGCCTATACATGTTGCCGCGAGTAAGGGACGGATCGATATGATCGAGATTCTCCTCGATGCGGGTGCTCCTGTTGATGCCCCTTCGTGGGGTGTGTGCTTGTGTCGCCCACATCTGCCCATGGAAGCTTTCACCGAGTCTCCAGCTGTTGATGAAGGAGAGCTTGAGGATTTACATGGGGGAAACTGGACACCTTTACATGTCGCCATATGCCATGGGCAAATTGAAACGGCAAAGTTTCTATTGAAACGTGGAGCGTCGCCGGTCATCTATCAGGGAATAGACTTTGAGCTGGAACCGCTCGCATGGCGACAGGATGACACTCCTGTGGACTCGAGCAGATTCAAACTCACCGCACTACACCACGCTGCGAAAGAGAACATGATGGATCTCATCAAGTTTCTCATTGACGAAAAATACCAAGAAGACATCGATGTCGAAGGTCCGTTTATGGGAACACCACTATCTCAAGCAATATGGTATGGACACTGGGACACCGTAGTCCCATATCTCCTTGAGCATGGTGCCGATATTGATAAGAGACTCATTGAGACGGGGTTGACATCCCTCATGATGGCGTGTTTCTCACGTCGCTTCGATGATGCCGCAAGACTCGTTGATTTGGGTTCAAATGTCACCACATTATCTGTACATCAATTCAGTATTCTTCACCTGATTCTCGGGCCTCGTCACCTCCGGCCAGAAGACTTTTTTGACCCCCTCGGGTCTCCTCCGAAGGAACCCAGTAAAGTCTCCGAAGCCGAAATCATCCAGAAATTCATCACTAAGGGTTTCGATGTCGATGCACGGGAAACTCTTCTTGGAATGACACCATTGATGGTGGCGAGCGCGAGCTGCAACACAGATGCAATGCAAGCATTGCTCGAAGGTGGTGCCAATGTCAACGCGGTAGACAATGAAGGTCTGTCTGCGCTTGCCAGGGTCGGTGAGACTGCCGAAGGTTCTGCTATTCTCGGTTTATACGATTCTGCCAAGCTGCTGCTTGATGCAGGAGCAACATTGGAAGATTCGAGAGACGAGATCACTCCACTCAACATTATCTGCACACGGCAATGTGAACCCTACTTCAACCGTGAATGGGATAATCAGCACGCCACTCTAGCCAAG